TGTGACTTCTCCAGCGTCTTTCCACAGGCTGTACCAGAGCATATGCCTTCCTCCAACGCAATTAGGAAGCCCCAGGGAGTCATCCAGAGAGGGCAGTTGTTGCCATGTGTTGTCTGTTATTCCAAGAAGCAGGGAAAACAGTGGAGCTAAGAGGAATTCAGAAGTGCAGATCTGTGAAAGGTTAACCTCAGAGGCCCAGGAGGTAGCCTCTGTCTTCCTCCCTGCCTGTGAGCACCACCTCACAGCCTGTCCCTCTCTACCATTGACTAATGCCTGAAGATACACAGTTACAAAATCATTTATGTATTCAATAAACTGTAAACCCTTAGGAGGAGGCCTCACTTTTAATTTTATGAATCATCCACCCTTCAGCTACTTGGCTCCATGTCCTACCAGTAATTACAGGACACATCCTCAGAGATGAATCTAGACGAGTCCATCACTTTATTAATGAGTTAATAAACTGCTCCCACAGTGAAAGCTGACTACATGTCTCACAGTTTCTCACCTTGTTTTCACACCACTCTAGTGAGGAACTATTTGTGTTAAACCCATTTTATAGATGAGGATATCAAGGCTCAGAGAGTCTGAGTAATTTGCTCAGGGTTTCTCAGCTTGCGGTTTGCAGAATTGAGCTCTCTTCTGACCGAGAGCTGGCTGTCTTTGCCAGCATGGTGCCCTGTGTCAGCTTTCATCAGAGTTTTATATAATCAGGAGAATTTGATTGGCCCTTGGGCATTTTTCATAAAATTCACATCTACATAATAGAGTTCTCTTCCTGGTCTTACTCCAGTGTCAAGTACACAATACCATGTATAATACTCAGTGTGCCTATCTTGGAAGAGCTGATGGCCCTTATAAAGAAGTAAACTTCAAAAAGGCCTCATAAGGGACCTGTGTATTGCAGTGAGATTGTTATTGTGTTGACACTGCACTGCGCTCTGTGGAATTTGCTGATTGGTACAACCATCATCGTTTAACGGACCGGGATTAGCCCAGTTCAACGGGCGTGTGCTTTCTCGGGGCACACAAAAGCCTTCTCCAGTGATCCAGGCTTTCCTGGTCGGGAGACTCAGTGAACAAGGCTGCTGCATTCCATAGTGCTGAGTCATCAGTCTGGTTTGAAGGGAAGGAAATCAAGGAAAACATGATAGGTCCCTAGCTCCCAAGCAATCCAGTCCAGAAAAATCCGGAGTGAAGAGTGAAGCCCTCATACCAGTGCTGTGTCCTCTCTACAGAAACCACCCTCTTTGTGTGCCCTTCCACACTTCTGGACTAAACCAACTGACAAGAAAGAATCTGACCAATAAAACATAGTCAACTTGCTGATTATAATTAGTGTAGACCTTTCCTTAGTGACTCAGAAGGTCCTTCCGATGTCTTCCCATTAAGGGTGTCAGTTGTCACAGTGCAGAACCATGGGGTTGTGTGCCAGGCCCCTGACAGCGAGAGGCTGTGGGAGAGCTGTGCACAGTCTCTCCCCTGGAGCTTAGGCTCTGACCATGGCTGCTCACCCTCCTCTTGGAGCAGAGATGTTGAGGGCCCTAATCTTATGGACGTGAGACTCTAGGGACTACAGTACAAATGTTGATTTGTAATTGAAAAAAAAGTTAGGGATTTTCTTATGTTCTATGGTATTAATATAAGTCTGCTTTTACTCTGATATTTTCATAACTATATACTTTATATGTATATGTAATTTTAAATATACATCATAGGTAAATTGTGTGTGTGTGTGTGTGTGTCTATATTTCAGAGCAGGAGTAGCTTTCATTAATAGGTTCAGCTGGAAACAGTCTTCTCTACTTTGGAAGAAATCCTGAGTAGTTTTCTTAAGTAAGGTACCTCATGCCCTGGGAGAAGACGTAATCGGTAGGAATTTATTTTTCTGATGTTAATAAATCCATCTCTCCAGATTTCTCTTGGAGAGTAGAGATCTGGTCACATAAAGAACACAGAAAGTTTCTGGAAGGGAAGGGATTGAGAAAACCCCAACCCCAACATTTCTTCCCAGGATTTCATGGGAGGCCCGTTCTAGAAAACAACAAAACTCTTTGGAAACAGATCCAGGGAAGGTAAAAGGTTGAAGAATGTTTCTCAAAAAACAACAACAAAAAAAAAAACAATGGCCAACAAGTCCATGAAAAGATGCTCAACAACATAACCATCAAGGAAATGGAAATCAAAACCTCATGAGGCACCACTTATACCCATTAGGGTGGCTAAAACAACAACTTTACAAATGGAAAATGCTAATATTGGCAAGGATGTGAAGAAATTAGAACCCTCACACATTGCTGGTAGAAATATAAAGTCATACAGCCACTTTAAAAAGCAACTGGTGGTTTCTCAGTAAGTTAACCCTAAAATAACCTTATGACCTAGCAATGCACTGCTAGGCATCTACTAAAAGAAACTGAAATTGGGTGTTCAAACAAAAACATGTGCTACACAAATATGCATAGCAGCTCTGTTCACAGGAGTGAAAGGGTAGGAACAACTGCAGTCCATCCGTGGGCGAGGGGACGAGCACAGTGTGTCCTGGCTGCACAGCGAACAGTATTCAGGAAAGAAGCACTGACACATGCTGCCAGGTGGACGACTCGGAGTCCTGTGTGCTCGGGGAAATGACTCAGGCACAAAGCCATCGTGTTAGACTGTTCCATTTCCATGGAATGTCCAGGACAGGCAAATCCACCGAGGCTGTGGACGTGAGGACTAAGAATAGCCTGTGGAGGCGGAAGCAGATTAGAGGAGGGGGGGGTGAGGAGAGGGGAGAATGCACAGTGGGGTCCTTTGGGGTGATGGAAGTGCCCTGGAGCCAGGTAGTGGGGACCTGGGGTGATAGAAGTGCCCTGGAGCCAGGTAGTGGGGACAGTTGTACTACATTTTGAAGGTACTCATGCCACAAACTGTGCCCTTCAAAATCGTTAAAATGGTACATTTTGTTCTGTGTATTTTTTCATAATTAAAAAAACTGGTTACTGGTGACGCAGTGAAAATCTCGTGGGAGAGAGGGGCCACGGGCTCCCAAGTCAGGTTACTAAGGGGAGGGACGAGGTGGACTGCTGCTCGGGAGAGACAAGGAAATAGTGGTCCTGGGGCTGAGTGAGTGACAGTGGGACCAGACGCGTTCTCGCCCTTTCAGGGACTGTTTGTGTCCTGGGGGTGGCCGTGTGGGTGACTCTGAAAAGTCAAAGCTGAAAGAAGTGCAGTGATCGCAGCAGGAAGCCTGGGGCCAGTGAGCAGAGCAGGAAGTCACAAGGCCGGGCGTTCCAGGAGAGCAGGAGGTCGCCGCCTCTGTAAGGACCACAGAGCGGAGCGGGCAGGAGCCTGTGCTCCCTGCGCCCTTCTGAGGACCTCGTCCCCATTTCCTGTTGAACGCTGGCTCCTGCGGTTCTGCATCCCTCCTGAGACAGCAGTGCCTGGGTGTCAGATCAGCAGGTCTGAGCTGTGGCTTCGAGAGGAGAGGAGGCCCCCTCTTTGGACACCTAGCGTCCCAGATAGATGAGAGAGGCCGCTGCCTAGAAAGGGAAAGACTGCTCTGGACCATGTGGTGTGGTGCTCCCTCACTCAGCTCCCCAGACCAGTTCCTGTGTGGGGAGCTCTTCCCCAGGACATAGAGCCACCACCTCGTTTCAGATGAGCAGAGCCCGGCACAGGGCACACCCAGAGAGGCCATGTTTATACTTATTCTAAGAGCTGAGTCAGGAGACCGTTATCACAGGGGTGTTTCTCAACATGTCTCCAGCATTCTTTGGAACTTTAACTCATCTTTCAAAATAAAGTCGAGACACATCCACTTTCAGTCTTGAAATCACCCAAGGGGCATGCCCTCCACCAGTGGAAAAGCAGAAGGATCAGGCAGGAAGGGGATGGTGTGTGGGTGGCCGTGGTTTCTGTGCCTCTGCTGCTTTCTCGTCTTGGAGTCCCAATCACCCAGCATGCTCACCCTCTGTACCTGTGCACAGGCTGGTGGCTGGTTCTAGTTCATGCTTCAAAACCCAGCCCAGGGGTTACATCCTCCATGAAATGTTTCCTGACCACTCCAGGCTGAGTTCTGTGCTCAGTTTGTGTCCCCTTGGACCCAATGCTGCCCTTGCTCATGCCACACCTTACTGATCTTACTCCTGCACAATGTGTGTCTTTCTAGACTCCCTCAAGGGCAACTGGAACAGTCTGCCTGCATTTGAATCCCAGCTCCACCAGGCCTAGCTCTGTGACTCAGCTGCTTGGACTCAGTTTTTTCATCTGTAGAATGGGAATAATCACTCCTGCCTTACTGGGTTGTTTCGATGATTAAAATGTCTAAAACACTAAACAATACATGGGACATATGTGCTCAATAAATATCAGCTATAGTAATAATATAATAATCACCATTAATTATCTCTGTGTTCCCAATGTCTAACACAAACCCCAGTATGCAGCAGGCAAGTAGTCAAGTGGGGGACAACAGGACTGTGGTTGATACGTGAACTGTGGTCGATCCGGTGCTCTACTGTTCAGCACACCAAGTAGCTGCTGAGCACTTAGAACGTGTCGAGTCCCAGATGCACACCCCGTGTATAGGTGCACACCCCATGTGTATTGGTACACACCACATGCTAAAGACAGTACAGAAAACAAAGTGAAATCATCTCGGAGGTAATGTTTTCACATTGGGTACATGTTGAAATGATATCCAGGATCATTTAGGTTAAATAAAATTTTTTAAATGTCAGCAGCTTGTTTTCACTTTTTGAAATGAGACTGCAAGGAAATTGACAAGTACATATGTGGCCACATTGTTTCCCATCGCGGAGCATGGGGAACATGTCCCACCTGCCCTCAGAGCTGCAGATCTTCACGCAGCCCCATTCACGCTCAAATTTCACATAAGCTTTAGGAGCAGAGAGTTCATTTGGAATCAGATCTGTCAGATCGGTTTGTAAGGGTTTCTGAGCAGGTTTAGCAAGCTCAGGTGTGGAAGGCAGCTACAGCGCTGTGGGATTTTTCAGGTTCGCTGTGATCCTGAGATTCAAGAACTGCGCCAGTGGCAGAAGAAGCTACGCGAGGACAAGCACATCCGCGAGCGGGTCCGAACGTTCTGGGCCCAACAGGAGCGGAAAGGTGAGTTCGACTGGACTCGGGGCCTCCTCTCCGGAGGTTCTGACTGGACGTTCTGGGCCAGGGCCTCAGGCATTGTGTCCATGTGAGGTTTTTCCAGTTCACTGGGCAGCCGGAGCGTGTCCATGTGAGGTTCCCGGGATCCACTGGGCAGCCGGAGCGTGTCCATGTGAGTTCCCCCAGGTCCACTGGGCAGCCGGAGCGTGTCCATGTGAGTTCCCCCAGGTCCACTGGGCAGCCGGAGCGTGTCCACGTGAGGTTCCCGGGATCCACTGGGCAGCCAGAGCGTGTCCACGTGAGGTTGCCGGGATCCACTGGGCAGCCGGAGCGTGTCCACGTGAGGTTCCCGGGATCCACTGGGCAGCCGGAGCATGTCCACGTGAGGTTCCCCGGGTCCACTGAGCAACTGGAGCCTGTCCACGTGAGGTTCCCAGGATCCACTGGGCAGCCGGAGCGTGTCCACGTGAGGTTCCCAGGATCCACTGGGCAGCCGGAGCGTGTCCACGTGAGGTTCCCAGGATCCACTGGGCAGCCGGAGCGTGTCCACGTGAGGTTCCCAGGATCCACTGGGCAGCCGGAGCGTGTCCACGTGAGGTTCCCAGGATCCACTGGGCAGCCGGAGCGTGTCCACGTGAGGTTCCCTGGGTCCACTGAGCAACTGGAGCCTGTCCACGTGAGGTTCCCAGGATCCACTGGGCAGCCGGAGCGTGTCCACGTGAGGTTCCCAGGATCCACTGGGCAGCCGGAGCGTGTCCACGTGAGGTTCCCTGGGTCCACTGAGCAACTGGAGCCTGTCCACGTGAGGTTCCCAGGATCCACTGGGCAGCCGGAGCGTGTCCACGTGAGGTTCCCAGGATCCACTGGGCAGCCGGAGCGTGTCCACATGAGGTTCCCCGGGTCCACTGAGCAACTGGAGCCTGTCCACGTGAGGTTCCCAGGATCCACTGGGCAGCCGGAGTGGAGACTGAGGAGGTGCTGGAGCCTTGGTTGCGCTGTGTGAGATGTTCGGTCCTCGAGGCCTGCCAGCCCTGAACGCTGGGCTGCAGGAACTGTCTGTTCATACACAGCTGTGTATCTGTTATTTGTTTATCCAGCTCTCTCTCTCCCTCACTGGAGTGTGAGCTCCTTGAGGACAGAGACCTTTTTCTAGTCCAGTGCCTGGCCCAAGGTGAGCCCGAGTGAGTGCTGGTTGCAGGAACTAGTGAGCCAATGAAGGAGTTTGAGATTTACGGGAGCCAGCCCCCCGCCCCCCCCCCGCCCCCCCGCCTTCCCCTGGGTGCTTGCGTTAGTGTGGCTTGTTAGGAAGCTGCTGAGCTGTTACTGGCTCAGGGCCCCTCCCTGCACGGTGGCCAGTTCAGGCTGTAATCAGTTAAGGCCAGGGGCAGGCAGCATCCTCCTTATTTCTGTTGTTACTTACTCTTCAGTTGATTTGCTGTTGTTTAGCTGATGGGTGCGGCCTGCCATGTGGCAGAGCAGCCGACTGGGTTTAACATGTGTGACCCACACAGCAGCCACGGGCAGAGAAAGCATTCCCACTGACCCCCAAGGCTCACATTCCTTGCCGCCATCCAAGGGCCCTGACACCCCGGTGTGAGTCCACAGGTAAGCCCTGTCTGTGATGTGACTGTGAGCTGGCCCTAGGGAAAAGAGCTGGTTCTAAACACTGTCCCTGGTCTGTGGTGAGTGAGGGTGCGCGTCTGCATGGCCCAGTGGGGGAGTGACTGGGTTTTGGAATTGGCCAGATGGTCACGGAATTCCTTCACTTGATCTGCGTGACCCTGCTCAAGCAGCTGCATCAAGCCTCAGTGTTCCTGTGTACAAAATGGGCCTAACACTAGGTCTGTCTCGTACGGTGTTACAGGTGACAAAATGATCTTCCGAACAGGTCTTGACACAGTTCCCATAGATGTTATTGTCATGATTAGTACTGATTGTGACAATAATTAGTATTAGATTTTATTATTTAAATTATATTTAAATCATTATTAAATAATAATTACTATTAAAATTTCTGTGTGCTTTCAAATCGTGTTGGGTTGCTTTCCTCCACCAGACACTAAGCTCCTGGGGTTCCCTGTGGGGCCGAGTTTGTCTTTTATATCCTGAGGCCCCAGGCCTGACACAGAGCATATTTGGTGGGTGGAACCCTGGGCTCATTTTACAGATGGAGAAATGGAGGCCCAGGAGGGTCGAGGGATTTGCCCAGGACCACACAGCCAGTGGGGTGCCCCAGTTTTCCCACATGCCCAAGAAGAGCCACAGAGACAGGATCTCTTGGATGCTCCCATCAGACCAGCCCCAGGAATCTCCCGCATGGGGCATGTGGCTTCCCGATGTCATAGGGCCTGGGCTTCGGGCTCTTGCTGGCTGTGTGTGTTGATGGGAGCCCCACGTAGGAGCAGGGGACAGCCTGCTGCTACCAGTGTCCCATCCGGTGTCACCGACCTAACGCACTACAGAGTTTCTTCCTGTTCTGACCCTTACGAATCTGGGTAGTGTGGAGATTTATATAGTAAATCCCCCAGCCAAGGTGACACCGTCATTGAACCCCACAGACTGCTGACAAAGCAATTTGAACATGGTAAACACACGCTAGTCCTTTAGATTTTCAGAAAGATAAAAGAAGCAGAGTGATTGCACATAAAAATGGTGTTTGGACTTCATTTGAAAATCCACGAACCCATCTATGCACAAACCCAGCAAACAAGCATAATGTGCTTCTCAGGGGGATGCCGTTACCCAGATTGCACCCTGGTGTGTCCAATATGAGTACACTCGGCCATGTCTGTGTGCTGGAGCTGCCTAGGCTCAGACAGGCGGTCGGGGGAAGCATCAGCTGTCAGGGTGTCAGGGTGAGGGTCGGGTCTCGTTATTCGGAGGCTGAGGCCCTCCCGAACAGTTTCCTTCTAGGACAGAAATGGGGTGAAGTCAGCCTTGAGTCTCTCTCCATTGGGATAGTTGCAAGAATATTTTAAGATGTTTGTGACAAGAATTACCACAAATATAATCCCAAAGAACATACCTACAACATTTTTGAGGTGTGGTCAAAAATCCTATCTCAGCTAATGGCGTGTCTGTAGCGTCATACTGTCAGTAATAGTGTTCAAATGTGTTTTGTGATCGACTATCCATATTTTATTTGAAAATCTAGTACAAGCAGGAAGAAACCATAGAAATGGTTCCCATAACATCAGATTTTGTATATGTGTGTTCATCGTTGATATGTGTACAAATACTCTTTAAGTGACTTTTCGTGTCTTCTTGATATTTTAAAGAAAGAGGGTGGAGGGGGTGGAGGGTGAGGGTGGATGATGAGGAGGGTGAAGGAGGTGCCCTGTCAAAGGGAATGGGTGGTTTACTTTTATTTGTTTACCGGTTTATTCTCTGCCTCCTTTCTGGAGTGGTTTATAGTAGCTCACAGAAACTCATATAACATTTTTTAGTAAATGTGATGATTAGGTGAAGGAAAACATTAAGAGTAGGGAAAAAGATAAAGCCACTAAGAATAGTAAGCAAAAGACTCCCTCTGAGGCTACACTTGCACTTCTCAGAGACGAGGTAGAGGGGGCGGGGTCTGTCACATGCCCACGGAGTCCCTGAGAAAAATGGGCTATTTGTTCAGGGGATGCTGAGCCCCTCCCTAATCCATCATGTGATGTTAGTGACAGCTCAGGAAATGTTCCTGCAAAAAATGGAAACGCGTACTGAGCTTCCTAGCAGCCACAGCAATGAAGGAAGCTCACTTATCTAGACCTGACTTTTCCTCGTTAAGAGAATCCTGTAGCGCAGTGAAAACTGTCTTTTACCTGACTACAGTAATGAGTTTTTATAGCAGCATTTACTTCTGGAGGGGAAACATGGAGGCCTGCGGTAGGGGTAGGGGGAGGAGCAAGAGAAAAGTCTTTCCCTGATTTTAAATCTAGAATTTCAAGTTTAGCTCGTAATGACAAATCTTAACTATTAGGACTGGGTTTTAAAGATAGTCTTAAATGACACCTCATGTTGGCTGCACCACAGGCTTGTGACCCTGGGATGCCCTGGAGCTTTTAGTTTTTCAAGGAAATTCTTAGGGGAAGGTGTCTGGAGCTAAGGAGTAGCTGTAATTTATGGAGCATAAACCACAAGCCAGGCACTGACCCGAGCATCTCCGGCTTCCATGTGACCCTCACACCTGCTGTCCCAGAGAGAGGGTGTCCCTCACTGTACAGGAGAGGAATCCAGGCTGAGACAACGCGTGGCTCATGAGAGGCCCATGGCAGAGGCCAGAGGCTTGCCCCCACATCCGTGACCTGCCAGGGAGCCCAAGGCCATTATGCCATGTTCTCCAGTTACCAAAACCCTGGTGCCATGGGGCCCATTTGCCCAGGCAGAGCTTCCTAGCAGGGTGCCAGGACCCCAGGCAGGAGTGGGTAAGCGACCACAGGCCACTGGAAGAGAGGAGGGTGGGGGACAGGGGAGGCTGAGCCCCAGTCCCAGCTGCAGGATCATTAGCACAGGAAGCCTGGGCAAGTGGATGAGGATCAGGGGTTCTCGCCTTCCCATTTGCTGCCCATCGACAGGTGAGGAACAGGCCAAAAAGGGCACCTGGGTTCAGAGGACCCCCTAGCCTGTGGCTCAGGAGGTGGGTTCTGGCGTTAGCTGTGACCGTTGGACTAACAAACATGATCTGTCATGTAACAGAAAAGGTCAAAATTCCATGACTTATTTTCGGGAGACAACCACTGTGGAGTTTGTGAGGTCACAGAGTTCTTCATCTGTCTGTCAACTAGAAACATATCTACACACACACAGTGTGGGCAAAGCTAGGGTCACGGTGATGAGTATGTGAACGTTATTCTTATATTATTTACTAATCGTTGTATTATTCCCATATGAACAACTGTAAACCTGCTTGTGCCCTCCCAGTGTACTTTCGTAAACACACAGCCATGTTACATGTGGTGTGCGGTGACGTCTCTTTTCTTCACCTGGCTCCGCACCAGCCACAGCTCACGTCTGTGTGTGGGTCTGTCTCATGTTTTGTAGATAGGTTCTTGGCTACTTACAAAAGTATTTTACAGGAGAATTCCTAGAAATGGAGTTGCTGGGG